AAGTGGTAATAATAGCGATAATAATAGCCGCCATTTGTGGACTGATGATAATTAAGAACTCATTGCTGTCATTTATGGATCCCTTTGAGAGTGGTACATGCATATTGCTCATTTATTGCTCACATCAGCCCTATGTAAGTACACACTGTTATTATCCTATTAGTATTCCCATTTTTCATATGAGGAAAGTGAGACAAAGTCCCACTTCAAGTAAGTAGCAGAGTTGAGATCTGTATCCAGTGTGGTCTGATGCCCCAACTCTTAACCATTAAGCCATATTGCATCCCCAAAGCACATTTTGTAATTTACTCTTATTTTTTCACTGCACTCATCCTCCTCTCAGACACAAACGCATTTAAGGCTAGAATGTGTAAATAAAGAAGGTAGAGAGAAGAGCATAACACTTTAGGGTTCCTATTACTTAGCTTCTTTGAGACCATTCTCAGAGCCCCATTTGTCTTGGATAGGGATGCGGTGAGGGGCCTCACCAGCCTTAGGAATGAATTCAGCCCTAGGAACATCGATTTCTATCTCACTTCCTGTGCCTACTAATTTTTAAACTCCGCGAGGGCCAGCAAGATATCATCTCCTTTGCATTTTTTACATCCCTATTGACTCCTGTACAGGGTGGATTCTTGGCTCCTCAATAAATACTTATCATTTGACCAATGCAGGGTCTGGGATGGCCAGGAATTTCCAGGCATGGAAGGACAATACGACTTCCTTCAATTATGTGGTGAAGGAGTTTTACCATTCAACACACTGGAACTAGACAGGAAATTACAAGTCTCTTTGGAATATTTTCGCTAGAATTCTTTCTTCTTAAAGGGAGAAAATTTGGAGTTTTCAATATTCCAATCCCTATTTTGAGTTCATCCATAACCCTCTTGTTGACGATCCTGAGGGATTTGCTCATCTCTGATCTCCCCACCTTGTGAAGCTTTTCCTTCAACAAGCCATCCTCAGCAGCCTCCTTTCCCATCAACTTTGGCAACTCCAATGGAAAAGCCAGAGGAACTAACCTCCGGAAAGGACAAGAAGTCCCCATGTGGGGACAGAATTAGTACATTTGAAACTTTGCCTATGATTTTGTGGCTGTGAGACGGAGACACTATGAGGACAAGACCTCAGTGATCTGGAACACTCAGACACTATGAGGGTGAATCCCACCTGACCACTGGCCTCCTGTCTGTGGCTCCTGGCATTTCCCATCCAGGGCGGATGCTTCCTGCATATTCGTGGTGGCACCATGAATAACAGTAGTGACTAAAGCAGTGAACGCGTACTCTGTCCAAGGACTCCACTCATGGAGAGCATGGCATTGAAGCCTCAGCCCCACCTCCGAGTGAGGCAGCTCTATTGTTTTCCCCATTGTACAGTTGAAGTGTGAGTGGCTCAGGTGATTAAGTGATGTGCCTAAGGTCATGAAGCTGGAAAGAGTTGGAGGCAAGATTTGGATCTTGGTCTTCATGGTTGCAAAGTCCAAGTTCCCTCCATCTTGCTCTCCTGTGTCAAACCTAGATTTATAAAATGAACACATCCCAGGGCACACGGTGAAATATAGGATTTACTGAGGGGAAAATTCAAGTGCCCATTCAGTAGGAGCAACTAAAACAAGCTCACCAGAGCAGGCTGTCTCATGTCTGTGTGGTCTTGTTTAAGCTGCAGGACCAGCTGGAACGTTCCCCCAAAAGAAATGGATCATAGAAAGTGTACGTGTGTGGTGGGGGCAATCCGATCCTAATACTTTGGGGTCCCTTTTCTTTGGAAACAGAAAAACTACAGGCAGAGGGTGGATGAGCTGAAGTTCACCAGTGTGGCTGACAGCTCCCAGATGGAGCATGCCAAGAAGAGCCAGGAGCTGCAGAGTGGGGTGAGTCCTGGGCTGCCCTTTCTCCACCAAGCTGCTGTGTCATGGGCCCGGGAACCTCCAGGGACAACAGCAGGTGCTGCCCAGGCACGATCTGGGAACCAAAGAGCCTTTCCTTTATATAGGCCACACTCAGCTTTCCACAGGCTTCCAGGCTGTTTCTGGGAGCTGGACGCTAGGCCTCCCTGCTCACCCACCACACTTCTCCCCTGGTTGGTAAGGATAGATGCCCACTGATGTTGCTCCTTTTTATCTTTCGATATTATCTAGTTCCTTCTTTCTTCTTCTTTCTTTCTCCTTCTATCTTGTCATAGACTCCATAATTCTGCAGCCAGTAGAGAATTATCTTGGAGGAGGACAACATTTGCTTGTGGGATGGGTGTGTGTCATGCCCACTTGGGCTCAAATGTGGGAGGCAGAACAATGAGCATCGCATACATTGTTTACACATCAGTGTACTCTGCTCTTGCACTGAGCAGGAGCTGTAGTTGCTACAGTCTGGCCAGGACAGTACTAGCTTTCCTTCCCAAAGGTCCAGGTACACCTGCAAGAAAGGATGCTATCAACATAACTCAGAGTCAGCAGAAAGCCACTGTTTGGAAAATCAAGTGGGGAAGGGGAAGAGAGAAAGAGCAAGAAAGAGAAGTTTTCATGGAGGAGCTATTCACTCATGTTTTGGTCACTGTTCACTTTCCAGGTGTCAGCATGTGCAAATGCACTAAGATTGATTATAGGGGTGCAGGGGGCAGAGACCTTCTTATTTTTCCCATGTGGGGAGTCTGTGCTCATCTGAGCCCTCTGCTGGGTTCCTTTTTGTGGCCGTGGATGGTGTAGATGGGAACAGCTTGGGAAGGTCAATGGCTTCTCAAGGGAAAGGTGTGAAAACAAAAACCTTGGAGAGGTTCTCAGGTTGGTCCCCTGGCCACATTCTTCTCCCAGCTCCTCGCTGCTGCTTCTCCTTCTCCCATCACCTCTCCTGCCTTAACCTCATTTACCGTATCCTGCCAGCCAGCATCTGGTCTGGTTGGTTTTGTAAAGAACTTCTCGTGCAAGTCACAGAAGAGTCAAACAAGCCATGCCGCCCACCTCCACCCCTGCCGCCTGCCCCTGACCTAGTGCTCTCTCCCAACAGGTGGCCTACAAGGCAGGGAATGAGCAGTCTCTCCATCAATACAGCATCAGCAAAGACGAGCCTCTCTTCTTACAGGCCCGAGCCAACGCTGCCAATCTCAGTGAGGTACAGCAAGGGAGAGTGGGCAACCAAGGGCCCTGCTTCCCTGTGTGTAGGCATCTGGTTGACAAACCCCACCAGCCATATTGATACATCAACTGAGGTTTCATACATCTGGTCATTGTACACAGCTAGTCCAGCAGATCTTGTTCCTGACCAGTGTCTCAGGGGGAGGGAAGGACAACCTTTCATAGGAATGAGCTGGTGGGAGGCTTGGACCACTCCATATGAAGGGGTAGGGAGGCAGTGCTTGGTCCAGGGTCGGAGTTGAAACAGCATGAGTATTGATAGAGGAGAGTGAGTAAGAGCTCAGATGTTAACTCCAACTGCCTGGGTTTAATCCTGGGTTCTGTCACTTACTAGCTGTGTGACCTTGGGCAAATTCTTTGCTCTCAGTTGTCCCATTGGTAAAATGAGGGTACTACTAGCCCCTTCCTCACTGGGTTGCCATGAGGCTTCAATGAGCTAATATACAGAAAGCACTTGGGGGAATGTGCACAGGGTAGCTTTACTCTTAGACACGAAAACATACATAGTCTCAACTTTTCCCTTCTCCGTCTTCTAAGGAGGGGGCCTTCCTTATATCTTCCACTCAGCTTCTAGGGTCTTGATCCAATTAATGGGTAGAGGGGGGAATTAGAAAGAGCTACAGGTGCTAAATTGATTCACATACAGAAAGGCAGGGGAGACTTCCAGAAGAAAGTACGTGAAATCTGGAGGTGGGAGCAGGACAGGAAATGGGAGGAGCAAGGAAAAGACCCAAGTGGACTAGAGGCCGGGGGCAAAAAGAGAAACGAATGGAGGTGGGGCAGTTGCTGGGCTGGGTGGGGTATGTGACCAGAGATAGAGAACAGACTTTTCAGACATGTTGCTGTGTGTTGTGCAGTGCTATGTCTCTGAGGCTTCCATGAAGACTCCTAGTAGTTTTCAAGGCTTCTGGAGTTCAGTTGCTGCTTCTTTTGACAGAAGCCCTGTGTCAAGAGGCCTTAAGGCAGGAATAAGGAAGCCTGTCTGTATTGCGGTTACACGGCTTCTATGGCTCTTAGGGTTTCCGTGGAAAGATGTAGTTGGTGCTTGCCTCCTACAGAGGTTGTTACAGAGTCTAGGAAAGCCCTCTCACATGAGGATGATTTCTTGTCTCCTAAATCCCCTTAGAAACTGTATAAAAGCAGCTGGGAAAACCAGAAGGCTAAAGGGTTTGAGCTGCGTCTCGACTCCTTGGCCTTCCTGGCAGCCAAAGCCGAGAGGGACCTGGCCAGCGAGGTGAGTCGATCTCTGTCTTCTCCAGGACACCGCGAATCCGCCCTTTACATCTGGGAGGGTCGGAAAGGGTCTGGGTAGGTTCTTAATCTCTCTGAGCCTCAGAGTTCGAATCTGTAAAATGGAGATAAGTATAACCACCTTGCAACAAGATAATCCTCTTAAGTGCCTTCCACACTGCTTGCCACATATCGGTTTTTGGTAAGTGGAAACTTATTATTAGTGGAAGTAGCAAGAGTAGTCATCCAAACCGCTCATTTTACAGACAAACGATGCCCAGGGGCATTCCATGACTTTCTAAGCATGCTGTGGCCTGTTAATGGTTAGGAGTCCAGGCTCTGGGGTCAGATAGATCTTGGATAAAATCCCAGCTCCGTCACCTACTAGCATTGTGACTTCAGGCAGGTTGTTCAACCTTTCGAAATCTCAGTTAACGCATTGGTAAATTGGGAATTGCAAAGTGGTTACGACGAAATGAAGTGAATTGATGTATTTTAAGTGTTCTATAGCCCAGTGCAGTCTGTTGCAAGTCTGATGTGAGGTAAGGAGCCCAGGCCAGCATGTAAGTCAGACTCTGCTTCCTTCACTGAGAAAGTCTCACTTCGAAAAAAAAATGTACACACACACACAATACATACATAATGTAATATCTATTTATTGTGTATATATTTATATTGTATCTGTATTATACAGACATAAATGTATATAGGTATCAGCTGAACTAAACAGTGGCCTGGTGATGTGGTTGATTTGCATTCTTCCACAAGCTCCTTCTCTCACCAACGGGTACCATTTTACAAACCAGCCGATCTGCAGATGCACTTTCAGTGGCACAGGTTATGCCATGCCTGGTTCATAAGAAGTGTTCAGTAAATGGTGGCTGATGTTGATACTGCTGCTGCTGTCGTTGGCAGAGATAAGAGCAGAGCCCGAGTCTCCTGCTGGCCACAGCAAGGATAAGGTTGAGAATGATGCCGCACAGTGGTATCCTGTTCCAGTTTATAGAGCATTTCCATATTTATTCTTTGTTATGATCCTCATTACTCTTGGCCTAGTGGATTTTTTTTTCAGGTCAATATGCTGCCTTTTGCTCCCCATCTCCTAAATATTTATATCTACCCCAGTCATTCTTTAATTTGAGCTCCTTTCTCAAACAGCAATTATATTTTGGATATTCTGTGTCTTTTTCATTTCATAACTACTTTTTATTTATAATGTCCTCACTATTACCAAAAAGAATTTCAAAGTGGCTTTTATGAAAGTAATAGGATACTTAAAAATAAATCCAGGAAGTGATCTCAAATAACTTAGACAAAAGATGGAATTTCACCAGAAATTGGGAGGAGACTGTCCTATAGCTGACCCTTCAGTTTAACTCTGAGCTTTCTGGCAGCTGAGGTGAAAAAGGAAATAATGAGTAATCATATTTTATTTCCCTGTTTGATGTTAGGAAATATATCAGTTGTTCAAAGGAGGCAAAGTTGTTATGACACTAATTCTAATAGGATTCTGTTGTATGGCTTTGTTTTACCTTTCATGCATGCCTGTGGTTTGAAATTTAACAATTCCTGTAGGAGATTCTAACCTCCCTGCTCTCTTCCTCCATTTAGGTAAAGTACAAGGAGGACTATGAGAGGTCCAGAGGGAAGCTCATTGGGGCAAAGGGTGCCCAGGGAGATTCGCAGATGAGCCACTCGCTGCACATGTCTAAGCTGCAGAGTGAACTGGAGTACAGGAGGGGATTCGAAGACACCAAAGCCCAATGCCACGTCTCCCTGGACATGATCCACCTTGCGCACGCCCGCAAGGCTCAGCATTTAGCCACAGACATAGGCTATAAGACGGCGTCGCATCACTTCACGGCTTTGCCCACCGACATGAAAGTAGAATGGGCCAAGAAGGCCTACGGTCTACAGAGTGAGGTAAGCTCTGCCTGTGCATGCGTGTGTGTGTGCTAGTGTCGGTGCAAAGGTTTCCCCAAGCCCTCAAGACAACAATTTATACTTTGACATACCTGTTTCTTGATCCCTAAGGGGAAACATTTTAGCTTCCTGGTGGTTTAACTTTTACTCAAATTATGCCCATTTTAGATTCTATCCTACCAAACAGAAAATCATAAAGCTACTTTTCTCTTCTTGGAACTCTGATCTACATATGATTTCCATGTTTCTTTTCATTGCCGGGGGGAAATATATTTGTAACATTCTTCACAGCGACCTGCCCTGGGAGAACATCTCTGAGACGGCACCAACTTTAGGAACCCCATTTCTAGAATGAGCAGCTCGCTAATCTTACAACCTAGTTCTGTTTTCCTCTGTCTTCTGTTGACTCTTATACAAGAAAGTGGGTGAACTGAGAAGGCAGGTTGGGGCAGCCAGACTGTTCCACAGGGCGGTGCGTGGGCGCAGTGTAGACACACCCTTCCAGGTCAGGCTGTTTCAGGATAGACAGGTGATATGCCAGTTTTAGAGAAGTGTCCATTTACATGGCTTTCCATTAAAATGACTTCTTCAGTGGCAAGTAAAGAAATGAGAACTTCCCCCGCCTGGCACCTGCACCGAGGTGGTAGGAAGGCATGGGCACCGCGGGAAGCCTGGATGGCTTGTGAAATTCCCACAAATAGCTCCCCACCTGGGTTCTGTTGTGAATTCTCATTTTCTTCTCCCCTGCATGTCGTTTTAAACAAGAAAACGGGGAAAGCAGACAATGAGGACGCTCCTCTTGCCGAGGCAGAGTGAGGCTATAACGAGGGACAAGGCGGGTCCACCCCTCCCGCTCTGCCCCCAGTGGTGCTGGGCGTGGCCGAGGCCGCCAGCGGCCGACGGCGCCAATTAAAGGGGAAATTAATTTACATTTTGGAGCCCTACTTGTGACTGTGCAGAAATGGGTAAGACAAAAGTGGCATCTAATTTGGCTCAGCTGGCACCAAGGCTACATTGGGGAGCCGTTAATAGCCCTTTAAATGTCTGTGCACCAACAATGGCCCGCTTTTTTTTCTTTCTCCTTTGTCAGAACCAATACAGGGCAGATGTGAAGTGGATGAAAGGCACGGGCTGGGTCGCCACCGGGTCATTAAATGTGGAGCAGGCGAAGAAGGCAGGAGAACTCATTAGCGAGGTGAGATTTCCCGACAGCGTGCAACAGGCCTGGCTGCATTAGGCGCGGCATTTCTGTATAAAATTAAAATAATTTCCCCTCAAAAGGCAAAGAAAAAGGCAAAGCTACATGAAAGGCCTCAAAACCCAGACTAGGGCTGGTAATTAGAGGGAAACCACATACCAAACACACACCAGTGGGGGCCCATAGAGCCCTGGCAAAAACAAAGTGGATGACAAATGATATTATGAATAATAATGACAATCAAACGCAGCTCAATTGCTACCCACCAACTTACCTTTGTAATGATGCAACATGGGAGAGATGATGAAAAGATACATTGATTGCACCCAGAAAGCCCTTTTGTGACTTTACGCAAATTTCTCTCTCTTTTTCTGCCACAGTGTAAACAGCTTTTGAATATTCACGTGGTGGTGGACATGTGACACGGTGCTTCCTTGTTGGGAGTCTCGCTTCTATTTAAATCTCACTCCTGTCTACTTGTAGCCACCCTAGCTGGACCCAGAGGCATTACGGCTTATAAAAAGAGACATTTCCTCACATTTTTGGAGCGTCTCATTGGGCAGATGTTTTAGAGACTGGATCAGGGTTTCTCAGCCTCAGCACTATTGATATTTTGATAATTCTTTGTTGTGGGGGCTGTCCTGGGCCTTGCAGGATGTTTGCCAGCATCCCTGACCTCCACCCACTGGATGCCAGCAGCACTTTCTGCCCAGTTGTGACAACCAAAAATGTCTCCAGACATTGACAAAAGGTGGAGAACCACTGGCCTCGACACCCCAGGGAGTTGGTGTTGGCTCATGTTCACACAGAGGCTGCACACCCTCGAACAACCCACATCCCCCTGTGTTCATGTCTGTTTGGGGAGGGACTTGCTCAGAGGCAAGTGAGCATCTGTTTAGTTGCCTTCAGAGTAGCCTGGTCTTCCTGGACTTTTCTGGGTGGAGAGGAAAGCATAATGGCCATAGCCCCAGAAGACTTCAGCCTTGGTGATGAGCCACCTGGAACCTTGTTTTGGTTCCAGGTGGAGACTTTCTTACTGAATGTATAGTTAGACAGACGCCTACGTTGCTTTTTCAAACACACCTGCCCAGCATTGGTATTTTCCCATGGGAGAGTGTTCTAGTCACCTGACACGTTGCAGAGCTGATTTCAAAAGTGGCCTCTCCGAGACTGGCCTAATTTTTAGGAAGGTTAGTCAAAACTCAAGGCTCAGAAGACCTTGGGAGCCCAGTGGAGACTGTACTGCCCCAGGGAGTTCAGTCTAATTAAGGAAAGGCTCTCTTAGGAGGATGAACATGAGAAACTCACAGGAGTAAACACTGAAGTTTGAGGATTCATGATCCCAAACTCTCAATATGGGGCCCACTCAGAATAGGACATGAAGAATAAGGACCATCAAACACATAACTGAGACTTCAAGATGACTCCTTCGTGCATCTAAGTCTGGCAGCCAACGGATCCTTCTAGAACCATTTATCACACTGTGATCTTAATTTTCCACCTCATTTTACAAACTTACTCAACAAATTTGCTTATCTTCCATGCTTCATCCCCATCCTCAAACTTCAGAAAGGCAAGACATCTTTTAGCAACTTTTCCCAAGCGTCTCATTTCCGTTTGGCATGTTTCCAGTTTAGTGTCAAATTAGCTGACCTCTTAATTTTCCAACAGAATGCCAGGCACTGATGAAAGAGTGACAAATGCATACACACCTATCAATTAAATCAAGAGTCAGCAAACATTTTTTGTAAAGGACCAGATAGTAAATATTTTCGGCTTTGTGGGTCACATGGTGTCTCTTGCAACTACTCAACTCTGCCATTGTAGCATGAAAGCAGCCGGAGACAACACATAAATGAATAAGCATGGTTGTGTTCCAATAAAACTTTATTTACAAAAACAGGTGATGGGCCACATTTGGTTGGATATTGATCTGTATCTTCTTAAGACAACCCACTATACAAAAATCCAACCCAATAAATGAAGAAGTGTTTATAAAATAATTATTTGATTTGAGAAAAGCTACACTTCATAATTCCATTAAGATAGCAACTGTTCTAGTCTCCTGGAAATGTACTTTGATTTTAAAAAATAGCCAGAAATTAATTTAAGTGTGAGTGTGAGAGTCAGAATTGCGCATCTAGGTCTTTGCCAGCATTTGAATTTTTTGTAATTTTTTTCAGTGTCTTTCGAATTGTGATTACTCCTTTCAATACTAGCACCCTTTTGCTTGTTATTGTAACATTTTAAAGAATTAATGTGTGTGTTAACTGAACTGGATTCTAAAATGATTGGATAGTATACAATCACTGACTATTAATTGCGGGGGTTTTGACTGTGATATTCTCTGCTAAGTATTTTTGTAAAAGGAAAATAGAAAGCTTCAATTGATAAACGTAACTATGACTGTTCTCTCTTGCTTGGGAGACCCAAACTAAGATATGTAAACAACTGCGAGACAGTATTTGAAGCCTATAAGAAGAATTCTTTCCTAAGTGTGTATCCCACAGTATTTTACTGGTATAACCTAATTTTGAGATGTTTTCTTTGCACCAGGTAGAAATACTTTAATGTTAATTGACATGAGGTTATTCTTAAATTGAAACAAATATTAACCCCAAGGCACCTAGGATATAAAGATGGAGGAAGCTGAATAATAATTATGTTCACAAATTCACTCTAATCTCAAGCAACCTATGATTTTCTCTTTCAAATGGCATGAAAGCGCAGCACAAAATTCACAGCTTTGATCTTTTTCTGCTCAACAGAAGAAGTACCGTCAGCATCCGGATGCTTTGAAGTTTACCAGTATTAAAGACACTCCGGAGATGGTCCAGGCCAGAATTAGTTATACCCAAGCAGTGGATGTACGTGATAATGTATCTACATTATGACTCTGAGAGTGGGCTCTTCTTTCAACACTGCGATTGAAGCCCAGGGGTTCTTGGCTTGCTCCTTCTGTTGTTCTAAGGATGAAGGAGCGTCTTGTCCTTTGCTGAGGCACACCTTAGCGGGGGTGCTTCCTCGTTAGGATGCAAATGGGGTGTTACTGCTCTTAGAATGCCAAGTGGGGCTCCAGCACCCCACTGCCCCGACGCTGTCTCATCCCTTCTCATTCGTGTGTCTCAAAGATCTGTCTGTGGTGGGGCCTTTCCCTGCTCCTTTTGTTTTAAAGTGTTGTTTTCAGAACTGGAACTTTTGGGTGAAATTCTTGTTAATTGGAACACTGAAGCCAGGCTTAAGGCTTCCTGGGACTCAAGGGCAGGAAGTCTTGCTTTCTGAATTTCCCAAAGACTTTGAAAATGATTTGGGTCTGATTTCTACATATTAGACTAAACTTTCAAGTGATTTCCCATATTCCCTTAATAATGTGAAACCGAGATCTGGCCTTTAGTCCTCTTAGCACGGGGTTCATTGGAGACTAAACTGAATGTTGAAGTCCTGTAAAAATTGACTTTAGGACATAAATTAGTCCTGTTTGCCTGATTATACTGAGAGATTCCACAGATCTTTGTAAAGGGCAGACACACCTTCAAAATATCTTCAAACCATTCAACCTGCCACGAAGAAAATTTACAAACCTTGGAGGGAGGGGTTTCAAAATTCTCTCCCTTGTTTCCCAATTGAACAAATTATTCTGGTTGTACCTTATTCACCAGGCACTCTGAAATGTCCCAAGTGCCTGTCAGAGTATGTTTTTGGATGATGTACATACTTACGGGTTTAGGAATTTATAATTTCTCGATAATCAGCCCATCAGAATCAAATTGAATTCTGAGAAACACGAACTTTTGTGCAAAGAAAAACAATACCTGCTTCTTCCTTACCCTAACCAACTCTAGGGGGCACTGCTGTGATACGTAGAAACTTGGACACATCTAATAAGATTTGGGATGGAAAAGCCCGGTTTAGAAACTTTCTCTGGTGGTTGATGCCGGCTCCATGTGTTATTGCTAAGAACTGGGATATCATAAGCCCCAGTCAGAGTTCCGGGTCCCCAGACCCACCCAGGGGACATTTATTAGCACAAGAATCCTTGAGATGGGATGGGATGAGGATTGAAGTAGGTCCAGGGAAAACCTCCCCTGTGGCAGAGCCATCTTCTCTCCTGCCTTCTGAATTTTGATGCCCTCTCATAGCTTATAGTTAATAACAAAATTACTGGATGTTCGCTAGACCTCATTTTCTCATTTGACACCCATCTCAGCAGTAGGCTACAAGTGGAGTGTTAACTGAGAGGAAAGTTTCAGCCTGTCATGTTCTGAGCGGGGAAACAGAAGCTGGGAGAGGATGAGGCGCATGTCACCACACTAGCTGTGAAACAGAGGTGGAGGCAGAGCGCCCGGGGTCCTGTCTCTATGGGGAGGTGGCAGCGGCAGCGCCCTTGGCTCCTGGAGTGTAACTTAGCTGATGGCTGCGTGGGGGAAGCTTCTGGGTTTAATGCAAAACCCCTCTGCATCCACAGAGATTATACAAGGAACAAGGAGAAAGCATAAAGCATCATTACACACAGACAGCCGACCTCCCGGAAGTCCTGCTGGCCAAGCTGAATGCCATGAATATCAGCGAGGTGAGGCTGGTGGGGAGGGGCACGTTTGAATTACGGGAGATCAGGGCACCTGTGCTGTTGCACAGCATCCTCTGCTCAGAAGCATCCTGTGCTCAGAAGGGCCCAGAGCTTGTTTTAATGCTCTACTGTCACCATCTTGAAATTTGTAATATTTTTGAACGGCGGGGGGGGGTCCCACATTTTCATTTGCACTGGGCCCTGCAAATTAGGTAGCCGGTCCTGCAGAAGAGTCAAGCTCATTTATGAGAATGAGACTGGGAAAACTGCCTCAGTGCAAAGGGCATTTGTGCTGAGGGACTGAGATATGGGAGCATCAGAATATTGGTGAGTATATCTGGCGGCCCTGCCAAGGAGAGCCCTGGGGGACGTGACTCCTCCCCTCCACAACCTCCATCAGCTCCCTGCTTTCTTGCTCTCTGATAGAGACAGTTGAGGATAGAGACAGTTGAGTTCTCTTCATCCGGCATAAAGAGCTGTGCAAATACAGCCTCATGCCTCCTTCTTCCAATCAGCTTGCTGCTCAGGGCAGTCTGGTTCTCTGGGTCTCCAGAGCTCTTGCTTTTTAACCCTGACCCCCAGGACTGTCCCCTCCAAGGGTGGGCATGAGGCAGGATCCGGCTCTCAGTTGGTTTTTGCTAAGCCACAGTGATCGCTAACTCCAACTGGAGGAAAAACCCCACAACAAACCAGGTTTCCATTCTGGTCATGGGAGTTTAGGAAACTGCCAGGTCACATGAGGGTCTTTATTTGTGCGCATCTTCCCAACAGACACGTTATAAGGAGTCCTGGAGCAAACTTCGAGACGGCGGGTATAAACTGAGATTGGATGCCATTCCATTCCAGGCAGCAAAGGCTTCTGGTGAAATCATAAGTGATGTGAGCATCCACCTCCATTACAGTGGCAATGTTTGACACTGACCAATTTTTGTTCCTCTCGCCCCTAACCCCTGCCTTCTTTTGCCTGTGGATAATATCTTCTCCTCTCCCAACTGTTAGGGCAATCAGATAATGACCAGTGGAAAAGAACATACGTTTCAACAAAAAATCCCCTAGCCACAGTACAAAGCCAGATGCTGGACTGTAAATATGGACCCTGGGCAGATGAA